GCCCATCTGACATTCTCATTTTAACTAATAATTACATCTCTTCAAAGCAGGAAAAGCTATCAATTAATAGTTTTAAACAAAAAATGTAAAAACACATATTTGAATAAAGAAATTGAACTCAGATGTGCATGGTGACTACGGAAGAAGAGAAAGGTTTATCAGTGTATGAGTGGAGGAATAAATAAAAAATTATGTTACCTGGGACACACACATTTTAAATGTTTTGTTGCTGTTTCTATAACATAGTAATTTCGTTTCTCCTTTATAGTTAGAAAACCTCTGAAATTAAAATGATTCATGGAGGTAGACACCATGAGTATGTGCTTAAAAAAGATTTTGAACATTAGAATAATTTGAAACTGGGTTTTAATTTTTTCATGCTTAAAATCTCAATGTTATGAAAGATGTTGCTTTAAAATGTTTTAAATCTCTGCTAAATTTTTGCTCTGGCGGCACGGAAACTAGAATAAAAATGGCAATCTGTATTTTTAGTTCTGGTTTGATTGCTAGTTAATTCTCAATGTAATTTTAGACACGTAACCTGGGCCTCTCCCACTTCCTTCACTTGTGTATTAGAATGTAGAGCAGATGGTCCTTAATACTACTTCTAATTTTAAAATTCACTGATTCTATTCATTAAAATTTATAGATTGGTACTGATAAATTCTTGGATTAAAAAATGAGCATAGTTTAACAAAAAAATCCACGAGCTGGTGCTGCCCCCTATTGTAGCTTGTTTTATTCAGCTTTCTGACATGGAGCACGGAGTAGCAAAGCCAAATAAATATTTTGTCACTCTACTTGCTTCTCTCTAGCACTCTCTACTCGTTTATTTCTGTAAAATCAAGCGGTTTTAAAATGGTCTGATTTCTAACTATATTATCTTTTGTCATAATGAAAAAAGTTAAAACTCATGTAAATTATGTTTAGTGATTGTTAGCTAAGGTAATTTAAGCATCATGTTTTCAAAACTGTTTAAGGAAAAGATTGCTCCTATAATTTCCTAAAATAAATTTGCCTTAGCCTGGGTCATAGAAGAGCTGACACAATTTTAAATAAATGTCTTTTAATTAACAGTAGTACTAGAAATATTAAACGTTTTAAGAGAATCTGGAACTCAATAATATGATGATAGATAATTCTACTCGAAGAATAAAGAATTAGCTGTAAGTTAGGTATAACAAATAGTAATAAGTTGCAAGTTTCCATATTATACGATTTTGTGTTAAAGAACTTTCCTCTGAATATTTCACTGTAAACATCATATGCAGTTTAAAAAAATAGGTCACTCACATTGCTAGCAATGCTGCAGACTAGATAATCTGAAAACCCTCTTTCCATAGAACACCTAAATTTGGGCTGAAATATAACCAAAGGGCATTTAGATGCAAAGTGTAGATTTGGGAGAGTACAAGATTTTAGCAGAAGTCAAAAATAAAGAATAATTGGAAATTTCTTACTTAAGCTTAGTCTGATGTTTTCTTTGGCTTCTCAAATAGAAGGAGTCACCAATGTTTGTTAGCAAGGGACTTTGATTTTATCCACCACCATGAGGCTGGAAGTGAGGTCTTGGGCTTAGGCAAGGGTTGGTATTAGAAGAGAGACCCCCAGTAAAGTGGAAAGTCTCAAAGGGACACACTCCAGTGTAAAAAGTGAAATGGAAAAATTGGTAAATAGAAATTAAGATAAAACTTGATTGTTTTGACCTCTGCTACAGGTAGGGAAAAATTTGTTCCTTGAGAATTCATAAACCAGGATTTGTCCACATCATTTAGGGGTTCATATTTGAAATATATACATGACTTGGGAAACACCAAACGGAAGAAATAATACAAAAAATGGTCATCAGCTGGTAACACCACTGAGGCACCAGTAGGAGCAAAGGTAAGCCTCTCTGGAGAGAACTACCCTCAGACAAGACTTCCGAGTCTCTTAGGTTTCCCGGGCACAGTCCTAAATTTTAAAACACATGAAGTAGCATGCCACCTTTCTCCTCTATTTCTGTTTCCCTGTATTTCTGGGTTATCAGACAAGAAATAAAAGATTACAGAGATGAAAGAAAAACAGGGCATAAAAATTTGGAGTGTAGCCTCTGGATATTTATACCAGTATTATGCTGTTTTAGTTACTACAGCTTTCTAATATAATTTGAAGTCAGGTAATGTAATGCCTCCAGCTTTATTCTTTTTGCTTCTCAGTGCTTTGGGCAGTCAAATAGCAGTTTTGTGGATATACAGCTAGGTGAGTGGCTTTGTGCAAGATATCTAAATCTTCATTTTCTATTTTGTAAAATGGGAATCATTATAGTAATGTATCTCATAGGGTTATGAGAATTAAATGGGTTAATATATGGAAAGTCTTTAGAACTGGAACAGTGTCTGGCTTATAGGAAGCATTAAATAGAGCTGGCTGGTTTTATAGTCTTCGTCATTTTCACTAGTTATTATAGGTAGTTGCATCATCCCACCTATCTCATAATTAGGTTGTTTTTTCTCCACATATGCCCCAGATGTATATCCAACGTCTGGCCTAGAATTCAATCTTTGGGTAAAGATAGCAGTTATATATCCCCAAATTACAGGATTTCACAACTGGCTTATTTGCTGAGGAGCAGTACAAGTAAGAATAGCAAGAAATGTAATGGGCAACTATTAAGCCAGCTAATGGCAGCACGTTTTTAGAATTTGCAATTTATTTTTTTGTTTAGATATTATGTGCAAAGGCATCACCATCTCCCCAGCTCTAGCACCTTCCCCACCCTCATTACACACACTAGTGAACATTCACCACGAACCTATTCTGGGCAGCTGGGACACAGGATTAGGAAAAGTGGCCTCATCAGATTTCTGGTTGGAACCTTGAGACTGGGCAGCTCTACAAATTCTTGCATTAACTAAGTTCCACCTCTAGGTGGAACCAGCTCCTCTAGCTCTAGGAGCTTTCATGTATCTCACCTTTTATCCAACCCTTTGGTTTTCCTTCATTACAATTACAGCAGGGACTCCTTATAGCACTTCTATCTTCTTGGTACTATCACCTGTTGATGAGGTGTGCTCTTCCTCTGAAAAATGAGATGGATGTTTACCTCATGATATAGTTGCGAGAATCCAGTAATACACATAAAAGAAAAACCACTGTATTTATTTTATGTAATAATTACTTAGCCTTGTGCTACAATTATTTATCTACTTGCTTTATCCTTGCTGAGGGATAGACTACATGTTCCTTTCTATCGTCTCAAACACCTAGCACCGTGTCATACACATATTTGAAATTTTCATTCATTCACCAATATTTATTGAGCATCTTAGATATACCAGACACTGTCCTGTACTCACAGTTTACCATAATAAACAATCAATCCCTGCTTTGCTTGGTGAAATTAGAAAAACTGACATTTTCAGTTACACCCACCATGCGTTCGGCTTGCAGATATAGCTGTAAAGTGCATCTTACTTACCTCCAGCAGGAACAGGAAGTTTCTCTGGGCATATGACACAAACAGCCTGCCTTAACTGTTTCATTAATTGGGACAAAAATATATTATGCAGCACTTGAGATGGTGCTAATGACATGGCCTTTATAGAGTGTGCCAACATTCCACTGAGCATGTGTTCATTGTTGTCCTCAAAAATGTGTGTTTTGTTTGTTTAAAAATCTGTCTTGGCTTGGCACGGTGGCTCACGCCTGTAATCTCAGCACTTTTGGAGGCCAAATCAGGCGGATCACCTGAAGTCAGGAGTTCGAGACCAGCCTGGCCAACATGGTGAAATCCCATCTGTACTAAAAATACAAAAATTAGCCAGGCGTGATGGTGGGCCCCTGTAATCCCAGCTACTAGGGAGGCTGAGGCAGGAGAATCGCTTGAATCCGGGAAGCAGAGGTTGCAGTGAACTGAGATCATACCATTGCACTCCAGCCTGGGGGACAAGAGCGAGACTTCGTCCAAAAAAAAAAAAAGAAAAGTTTAAAGTCTATCTTGTCCACTAGCCCGTGAGCCCGAGAGTAGTAATTACGTATTTTAACTTTTGTATTTCTCTCTGCCTTAAGAAATAGCTCAGTGTCTGAATTTAGTAAATGTTCAGTAAAGTATTGATGGAATGAAATAGTGGAAAGGATAACAAAAAGTTTTACTGACAACTATAGCAAATATTTCAAATATATATCAACTTACTATATTTTTATTCATTTAGCAGACACTGAGTAAATACCTACCATGTGCTATTATTAACCATGCCAAATGTAATCACATAGTATATTATTCTGCCTTACTTTGACTACTTTGGAGTGTATCACTCTGCTTTTCTCTTTTTTGAGATTTACAATTTAAGAGCCCTAGAAGAAAATGGGAAATGCATTCTGTGAAGTTATGGAAAAAGATCCATTTTTAACATTAGCTATCACTAGCCAAACAGCTGAATTTGATATTAGTTTATTAAATCCAGACTTCTTATGGGTTTCCAAGCTTGCTTCTTTCAATATAAATTACATCCAACCTTGAACATTGGGGGAAAAAAAGACTGAAAAGTAGCCAGCTGCTCCAACAGGAGCAATATACCATACTCTAGAATCACTCTGCTTATTCTATACCTGAATTTGATTTAATATCTAGTTGCTTACAAAAGTAGGCTATTAAATACGTCTTATAACCTGATCTTTGTATAATTTCTGGAAAATCTGGTCATTTAGAAAAAATGTTTTAAAATGCATCCTTCACTGACGTTTACAAATTCTAGTAACTTTTCTTCATGATATACTGACACTGAAATCACACTTGAAAGTTAAATGTATCTTAGGAGGATTAGAAATAAGCATTTACAAATAACTTAGTACTATAAGAAAGCTAGTTACTACTAAGCAACACTACAGAAATGACTTTAATAATATTACATTTATATTAGAAAGCAAAGGCCTTGAATAAACCTAATAATCAATACAAATTACTTCAAATCCATGTGAAAAAAGTATGTGAAGATTCAAAGTCAAAAAATAAAACAGTGTTTTACTATGAAGCATTGTATATTTATTTAAAAGCCATAAACAATATGAAAAAGCATGAAAGCACAAATTCCAGAGTTTTTTTAATCAACCTGATCAATTTTACACAATATCATTAAGAAATATAGAAATTATGTGAATTGTATTAAAACTATGACATATGACAATATTTTATAAAGAAAGAAAATTTTAACTCTAAGAGACACAAATATAATTTTTTCAAAAAGAAATGTAAAATATCACATCTTATGCTAAACATATATAGATGTATTTATTATGATGCAGCAGGTTTTGGAATATAGGGATTCAGGCAAGTTAAAAATAAAAAGTTTATATGATTAAACTTTGTGAATATTGTTTGCCTGATTTCCTATTTAAATATCAGACATCATTATAGGAAATACATAGTCTACTTACGATTACAATGGCACTTTCAAATATAAGGCAATTAATATTTTAGAAAGCAGCAACTTTTACTTTTTTTTAAAAAAAGCTAGTAGCAGCATGTAAAAATGAGCATTACAAGAAACTCAGCAAAACAAATTTACCCTGAAAAGATGAATATAATTAAAAAACCAAGCACCTTTCTTTCATTTCAAAAAGAACTGTAGGCTAAGACCCTCATCTCAGAATAACCCCATCTAAGAACACTCAGGCTTTATTTAATAAGCAGCAGCAGCAGAATACATCCCATTCTACATACTGACTGTGTTGAAAAAATGCAGTCCATATGCAGGTAGAAAACTAAAGTGCAACAGAAGCAAGTTAATTAAAGTGTAGTCACTTATACACTATGCTTTTAACTAGTTAACACAAAAATGTGTAATTGATAATTTATTATTGGTCCTACATATTATTTATGGCATGCTGTAGACCATAGAGAAATAGAATGTTTGCTGTGTTTTATTATTATTACTCTGTGTATATACATATTTATCTATCACGTCAATAAAAAGAAGTAAAGCAGTATTAAGCAGCAGTGGACTTTGTCGCTTTCACTTTTTATAAAGTGCTACATAAAATGTCATATTTCCAAATTTAAAATTGTAACTCCAGTTCTTACCATGAGAACAGCATGGCAATCACCAAGTATCTTCTTGAAAAAAAAAAAAATCATCTCTTCTAGGTATCACATCAAATGAGATAAAAAGGTGTACCAGGCAATCTTAGAGATTTGGGAACTTATTTTGTATATAAGGCGTCTGTGACCAAGAGAGGTTATGAATTTACAAATGTATTATGTATAAATGTATTAAATGCAAGCTTCATATAATGACACCAAAGTTCTAAGTTGCTCAGAGATCTTGATTGGCTGTGGCCCTAGCCAGCTCCTTTCCTGATAGTCTGATTCTGCCTTCACACATAGGCAGCTCCTGATCATCCTGCCAGTAAATGAGAAAACAGGTGTGGAATATATAAACCTTAACATTAATGAAATGTTTTATTTCGTAATAAAATCAAATTTCCCACTGAAACCTTCAAAAACTTTGCAGAATGAGGTTTTGATACATGTGTATAAGTAGTACCTTCTTAGTACAAGAAAACATAATTATTTCTGTCTGCCTGCCTTTTTGTTTTTAAAGATGAAGACTATCATTGAAACAAGTTTGTCTTCAGTAGGGGGACATGTTGACGGACAGGGAAGGTAGGAAAGGGTTAGGGACAGAGCCAGGTTGTTTTATCCCAACAAAGTTTGCTCTAAAAAGCCTTATTATTTCACTATCTATTAATAGGAGAACTCTGGATTCATTTTCCCTTATCTCATGTTTATAGTGTTTTAAGCTTACTTTGTATATGTTTACCGGGTTAATGAGTCACAGCTTTTTAGGATGAACTCCTATTCTACTAGAGAGACACTCAATTGCAACACACTTTTAGATTGTGTTCTTGCAAGCACACTCTCAGCTGTCAAAGTTAACACCCAATAAAAATACTCTACAAAGCAAAGAAATACACTTGCAAATAACTGAGTATTAACTATAAGCCCAATCCAACTTTTCCATTTTTCAAAATTAACCATAGTTGATGGCTTTGCTGTGTCTCTCTATCTTGAACGTTGTGGTGGAGATCTTTCAAAATACATGAAGTCCTGAAATTGGAAAAAGAATTATATGTAGATATATAGACAATTAGGTATAATGCATGCAGTATTAGCCTTTGTAATTTATTAGGGATTCCCCCATCCCAGTTAAAATAAATCAATTTAGGGAAATATTTATGAAGAGGACCTACTCTGAAGAGCAGCAGTTACAGATTTGGAACTGTTAGTTTTCCATTTTAAGTGCCAATTAACTGAATCTCATCATTAAAAAGAGGAAAAACTTCATAATCTAAGGATTGGACAACCCCAAGGAGAACCCTGACAGGCAGAAAGGAAGGAGATACGAGACACCTTCTTTAGAGTTATTCCACTAAGACATCATAGGCTAGGCATTTTTAAGTAATGAGAATGACAAATAACATGCAATGATGACAATTATACACATTGGACACCTAGTGTTATCCAAGTACTCTCCTGGTCATTTTACTCATGATAGCTACTATTCATAACCCTGAAAATTGTAAATATTTTAATCTCCATTTTACAGAAGAGGAAACTGAGGCTTGCAAGTGTTAAACACTTTCTAAAACATGCAACTAATAAGTGGCACAGCGATAAGTTGGCTTGGTTTCAAGGCTTATTCTTTATACTACACTACACTGCTTCTTCTCCATCAGAAAGAACAATTCTCTCAGGATAACTCAAAAATAGAAGGCTTACAATGAGGAAGCAAGCTCCAAAAATCATGGCTTTCATCTTCACATCCAGATCTAGTGGGAAGTGAATGTCAAAATGGTCAGCATCTGCCATCGCTGACAACAAACCATTCCACTTCCGGATAATACTGCCGATGTTGGATACACCATCAAGGGATTTGACCTGAAATGACAAGAATGTGCCTTTATGATGACTGAAACGCATTGAAGCACAGGTTTTAATGTTCTGCATATCATTGTATTTATGTTGTCAGATAACATAGGAGATAACATAAATGTATTTATGTTATCAGATAACATAAATACAATGCAGAAAAAGACTATGTAATTATATAATTTGAAATGAGAAAATAATGGCCAAAAAGGGTTAAGTGCCTTGCAACTGGTTAATAACTGAGCTGGGGTATATCTTAAAAGTCTCAGACTGCTGCTCTTTCTTCATCTTCAAATGAGTTACTAAGAGACTTTTTAAGAAGAGGTATGATTTGAACTGATTATGAAATTATTCCCAATATAGCAAAGGGTAGGAACTGAGAGAGAATCACTTCCAATCTAGGGAAACCTATGAGCAAAAACCAGGAAAAAAGTACTGTGCACTTCACATCACTTAAGTTTTTGTGAGCCAAATATACCTTGTCTTCTTAATATATGGCCAGATACCAAAGAGCTTCAGTTTCTAAAAGGGGAAACCTGGCACTTGTCACAGGGAAAATATCCAAATACTAACTTCTAATGTCACTTGGTAACAGGAATGATCACACACACCCTGCCCTAGCAATTTGGCTTATGTACATTGCTCTTTTAATACATAAGCAATACTTAATGATATAGTGACAGAAAATAAGAACTAAGGAAAGTTTCTTGAGTGTCATAGGAAACATAGGAACAACTGGTTTTGAAGATGATGAGTTTTGCCTAATTGCAAGGCATTCAAAAAACATTCTTTAAGAAGCCTAGGAAATATTTCTAGGAATTTCCTTTGTCAGACTTGCAGGGTAATGAACCAACATTTTGTAGCCAGTGAGATAAAGGCAAAATAAAATAATTTTTCTTTTTATTGAAAAAATGTTATAACTATTGTAAGTTTTATCCATGTTGTTAGTGTTATCCGATTTCTTGAGGATGCTGACAGACCCGTATCCTGCAAATAAGTATTTCCACAGCCTTAGGAGTACTTGGTATGTTCTGTGACATGTTGGGCACCTGCATTACTTACAGCCTACATTCCCAGCCTAGAAATCTACGGGAAAAAATGTTTAATTACATATAGCCGAGAATAGAATAAATGAATTAGGTCAAGCTATTTACTCTCAGAATATTTAATGTTTTAAATGATTTCCTTTTATTTTTATCAAGCACTGAAGTCATAAAAAAAGCTCTCATTTTGGAAAACCTCAAACAATCCACTAACAATAATTTTAAAATCTTTTGATGTCAACTGGTTAATTAACTCTTTCCTCACACTATGTTACTCATTCACATTTAAAAAAAAATTGTCTACAACCAGATATTTCCACAGTCTGTTAATATGGGTAGGAAAAATATCAGAAACACTATTTTTACATAGTTTCACCTCAAAAACAGAATCTGAACCACAGCCATAAGTTGAGCATGGCCCACGAACTCTCATCACATTTTCTTTCTTCTCATTTTGGATACTGTACACGGCCCTGCACAGGTTCCAGTGTTCCGCAACAAAGCCAATGGTGATGCCAGGAGGACACTGCACCTCCAGCTGCAAATAAAACAGTGACATAAGTTAGGATGCTACATGCATGCACACACATACACATACACATACGCACATACACAACTTAGATGTGTCCTCACTCATTCAAAGACCAGGGAAATTATTGCTGGGAGTGACAGCCTTCCATTTTACCCAGGCCATTCTTCGGGTTGTATTTCAGCGAAAAGCTTTAATGGATGAGGTCATGTTTGCCTCTGGGACAAACAGCAGGCTTAATTATAGCTTGTTATATAATGGACAGTTGTCCAAGCTCAGTGTTTGGCAAGCTGCATAAACAGCTAATATTCATAACCCTGAAAAATATAAGTATTTTAATCTCCATTTTACAGAAGAGGAAACTGAGGCTTGCAAGTGTTAAACACTTTCTAAAACATGTAACTACTAAGTGGCACAGTGATAAGTTGGCTTGGTTTCAAAGCTTATTCTTTATACTACACTACACTGCTTCTCCATCAGAAAGAATAATTTTCTCAGGATAACTCAAAAATAAAAGGCTTACAATGAGGAAGCAATGGGCTTCTCCAAGTCAACCTCAGAACTTGGAGATGAGGGGACCCTACACACTTATGCTGCTTGCTGTGCTGTAAAAGGGTTCTCTGTCTCCTTCCTAGCAGTCTCATTTCTTCTGACTCAGTCTATGAAACAGTAACAAGCTGACTTTTTAGATTTGAAATTGGCTAAAATCAAATCTCAGACATGAAAATTATAACAGAAAACAAAAGACAAAAGAGGCATTTTGAAAATTACACATTGTGAAAACAACCAAATGTGTGTATGCGTTTCTAAAGCCATTTTTTAAGTTTTAAAATATTGTCCACTACCCTGTTTTTAGCTATTTATCTTCAATAATATTATTTTGTGAAGAATTAAGATCTTCCTGTTTAATAATAATGGATCATAAAGATTAAATTATTTGGTAAAAGCCCAAAGTTAAAGTTTTACTGACTATTTCTCTGGTGTTGCATGGACTTTCGTAAGAAATTGGGGAAAGGATTACCCAGGACATGGAACAGGACTGCACAGATTCATACATTGCTAAATTAAGGTATTATTGTTCATATGGAGAAATTCATACCTATATACAAATATATAAATTTGAGACCATCATAGAACTATCTATGTTTAAACCTATGAGATAAAAATCAAAATGTACAAAAATAAATTCCTTAAAAATGCATACCATGGTATACTACTCAGCCATAAAAAGGAATGAGCTAGTAATAACAGCTTGTTTCAATCTCCAGGTAATTACTGTGGGTGAAAAAGATCAATCCTGGAAAGTTACATACTATATTATCCTGTTTAATTAACATTCTCGAAATGACAAGATTATAAATATAGAGAACAGATTAGTGGTTATAAAGGGTTAGGGACAAAGAGGAGGGAGGAAGGTGGATGTGGTGACAAAAGAAGATTTTAGTGACGATGGAACTGTTTGGGATTTGCATTGTGCTGATGGAAACAGGAATCTACACAAATGATAAAACTGCATAAACTAAATGTACACACACACACACACACACACACACACACACAAATTAATACAAGTAAAACTGGATAAATCTGAAGAAAAATCCTGGGTAAAGTTATGAGACAAAAGTGTCACAAATTGGACTAGGCTTGTAATTTTTTTTAGGAGTAAGGGTCTTTCTCTGTCACCCAGGCTGGAGTGAAGTGGTGCAATCATAGGTCACTGCAGCCTCAACATCCTGGGCTCAAGTGATCCTCCTACCTTAGTCACCCAAGTAACTGGGACCACAGACACACATCACCAGGCCTGGCCAATGTTTTTTTATTTTTTATTTTTGTAGAGAGGGGGTTTTACTATGTTGCCCGGGCTGATCTCAACCTCCTGGCCTCAAGTGATCCTCCCACCTCAGCCTCTCAAAGTGTTGGAATTATAGGTGTAAACCATCCTGCCCAGATGTAATTTTGATATGCTTTCCTTTATTCCGGCTTCCGATAATTTCAGAAGGCTGTATCTATAGGCTTTGATTTAAAAAATCTAACTCATAAATACAAAGATAAATGCCTACTATATCCAAAAGGATCAAGGATAATAGGTATTCACTTCAGATATAAGGTTGTTATCACAAAGATAATAATAACAAAGGAGTAAGATATCTGAAAATAACAGAAAATATTCATTGAGTACTATACTATTCGCTAGGATCTGTGCCGAGGAATTGACTTAATCCCTAAAATGATCATTCTACCTGATAAGTATTATTAATATTTCTATTTTACAGGTAAATAAGGCCCAGAGAAGGTTGTAAAAAATTAATATTTAGTAAACGATGTTATTTAACAGATCATGTAAGTATTCCTGTTATCCTATGATGTACTGTACTACCCAGTTTATGTATAAGAACACTAAGGCTCAAACAGGTTAATTAAATTTTACAGATTTAAGTAGCTGACATATCTACAATTCAGATTCCGTTTGGTTTCTCTCCAAAACTGCTTTTCTTTTCCCTACAGCAAATAACTTTCTTAGAAATGCACAGATAATGAGTAACCACACTGTAACTCAGCACATCTGTATTCTAGTTCCCGCCCTGTCCTTAGCCAAGTGTAACACCTCAGCCATTTAGTAATTTTGAGCCACTCTTTATCTGTGGCAAGGTATGGGTTGTGATGGGTACTCTAAATGTATTTAAGTCCCTTCCAATTCTAAAAGCATATGTTTATATTTAGCATTAGTTTATCTGGTGATAGGTAGGTACATTTAGATAAATGTGGTAGGTAAATTTCTAATTAAGTAGATGCAACTGATGGAATCATAATTATTGACTACACAATGCCAATTGTGCTTGTCCCACTTATTTAAGCACTAAAAAGTAGTAACAAAAAGAAACAATCCTCTATGATTTTCCTTAAGTGAGACAATTTGGTTTTCTCCCTCCCAACCATCTTCTTCTATTCTGGCTGGCAGGGTCAGGGAAAGTCCTCCCTATGTAGTGGAAGGAGCATACTGTGCCCTGAAGAGTTGGATCAGAAGCAAACTGTGAATCAGACTTCCATTCTCTGACCTCTTGTCTGGCAGAGGGGCAACAGAAGCAACAGCAGGTGCATCTGAAGGGTCTCTGCATTGTCATGATTTCTCGGCCCATACAATCAGTGACCCGGAGGACGAAGGGCCTTAGTGTCCGATAGGCATTCCTGGTAAAGTCATCTGTGTCTTCGGTTACCATGTAAACCATCTGGTCTGAGTTGTTTTTAATATCATATCTATTATTAGTTTCAAAACGTGTCATCACTAAAAAATAAAATGAGAAAGTCATCTTAAATTAGAAACATTTAAAATGGGCCTCAGAAAGTCCTTGTTTAGTATTTCTTAAGGGCTTAAAGCAACATAGCTTTTTTAAAGTTTCAGGTGAAATATGTAGAATTGATTAGAGTACCCCAAAAATCATATTATCTAAAAGTATTTAAGCAATTGTGAAAATTTAAAACATTTCTTTTAAGAAGTTCAGTGTAAACATTAACAAAATTTCTACATAAAAGAAAAGATTGAAACAACCCTTTTGTTTCAATTCCTGGAGTATCTGAATTCAGAAAACTTTAATTATAAAAACATTAAAAAGAAATTATACATTTGACCATTAATTAATCAGTTCATAAAACATGCTTTGAGGAGTAGGGTCATCACTAATTACAAACACGAAAACAAACCAAGAAAAGTCAAAGGCCCTATGTGGTGGCCAAATGAATATGCATAGCTGGTTTAGTGAGGGTCCGTAATCCTGTAGAATGAACTGAGAATAGGCATCATTTTGACAGATCTCTTATTCGTACTTCCAAAGCAAGGGCACTGGACTACGATTCAGCGGATTTGGATTCTATTTCCAGCTTTGCCACTGATTAGCTGACTGTGGTTTAAATACTACTTCCTGCTCTGGAGGTGATTAGCTGACTGTGGTGTCCCTGGCTAACTCATGTAGTCTCTTGGCTCCTTCTTTTACTCATCTTTGAATGGTAAATGTGGAGTAGGAACAATGAGTAAAGTGTAGGGCAATTGACCAGATAAAACGTAAGCCCTTTTCAAATCTAAGAGCTTATGATTATATGATGTATAGGATACAATTATACAAAATAATTCACTTTATTACTTTCTTGAAGATAGGATAACAGAGCAGTTTTTTTTTCTTTGAAATACTAAAACATGATCAATATAAAGAAGGAACTAGATATTGGATAATGCAAATTTCCATCTGATTAAAATACTGCTGAGCACTACAAAAATTATACATACTTTCCAGAGGCTCAAAATGCTGAAGAACATGTATGTTGTCCAACTGTTGGGATAAAACAAAGTAATTAGAAGACAGAAATAACAGAATTAAAATAACCTTGTAAAATAAACTGATGAAATAGATATTAAAATGCATCAATTGATACCAAAATATATTTTTGAAAGTCAATAGAATCAAAAACATTTTACCAACTGAAAATCAGCTTATCTGCATCTGATCAGATGGATATTAGCAGAGCTGTCCATATTAGAAAAACACTTTCTTTCAGTACCACTTTAAAAAAGCTGTCTGCTACATCAGAAAAACAAAACATCTACTTGCTGTAGTAATCACATCAGAAGAAGCTGTACTTACAGATTGTTCCTAGATAAGTCCCTACTCACTGGTCTCTCCACATATCATCCATAGCCTGCAGTTGTTTAGTTAAGTTCAGAACGATTAACATGGACCAGCCAGAGAGAAGGAAAGTCTCTCAGTGGCTTAAGGAGAACAAACAAGCCAGGATGAAGCTCACATGAAGTGTCCCATTTTATATTATTTTACAGGTACTTCCAGCAGAGGTTTATACACTGACTTGCGTTCACTTGATCTACAAATACCAGGGTCTTCCCCAAGTGCACACTTTAATAAGGGAAGGGTCTATGACACCAGGAAGCATGTGAATAGGATTAGGGGAAGAGAAAGGAAACATTCTTAGATGGCAACCCATGAAAAGGATGGCTAGGTATATACCATTTGAGAAATATCTATCTTAGGAATCATTCTAAAGATGAGTAGCTTGATGGGCACATTATCCGTTACATGTGAGAACATTCTAGCAGAAGAGAATAAACCTTCTTGAGGATACCTTGATTATATTTGGATAATTCTACATCATTTAGACCATTAGACCATTCCTAATCCCTGAGCTCAGAACACTGCTTGAAGTGCCATATTTCACCAAACATTGGTTAAATACATTAATTAATGAATAATATGCGAATGCAGTAACACATGAAATTAAAATAACGTACCTAAACATGACTGTTTTATGGTGTAATTAATTACAGGAGGGTACAAAGGGCACAATCCACGCTTAATTAAAACCTTTTTCTTTTATAAAAACACAATTACATAAGGAGACCTAAACATGCCCCATAAAATACCAAAAGTGGCTACTAAAATGGTTTATAGTTCATTTTAGAAATCTAGGATATTAATATCTAGAAGTGAAAAGTAAAAATATAAACTACAGGCATACTCTGAAGATATGACAAGTTTGGTTCAAGACCAATGCAATAAAGCAATTATTATTATTATTAAATTATTTTACATTTTTTGGACGGAGTTGTGCTCTGTAACAGGCTGGAGTGCAGCGCCGGACATCAGCTCAACTGCAAGCCTCCAAATCCTCTCGGGGTTCACAGCCATTCTCCCTGCCTCAGCACAAAAAATCACAACAAGTAGCCTGGGACTAACCAGGCCACCTCGCCACCTCGCCCAGGCTAGTTTTTGTCTATTTAGTAGAGAACGAGGGTTCCACCATGTGCCAGGAAGGGTCCGATCTCCCTGACCTCGTGAAGCGCCCGTCTGCCTCCCAAAGGCCTGGGATTACAGGCTTGAGCCACCCACACCAGCCAATAAAAGCATATCTATCAAGGTAAAAAAAGCTGAGTCCCACTTGGAATTTTATTTTCATTACTGGAATAAAATTACTGTACAGCTATAGCACCGAGTCCTACACGCCCGTGCATAGACGGTCATAATTCTAAAAAGAAAGTAACATAGCCGTAATTTTAATAAATAAGTTTAATTGCTAAAACCTGCAAACTACTATCTGAGGACTCAGGCTACAGTCAACCATCTTCAAATCTGCCCGTGAAGAGGGGTTGTTCTATGTTAATACAGCTAACTGTAGGCTGGTCTGATGGGCGAGAGCAGGTTCGGCGTACAAATTTCCTTAACACAACAAGATTTAGAAGTTTGCCATATCAATGACCGGCACTCTTATTCCTGGCATGAAAAGATTTCTTGCTAGCTGATCTTTCTTTTCTTCTACAGTATTTTTACGCACAAAGTATCGAACTTCCTTCAAAATTGGAGTCAATCCACTTAAAATCTGCCACTACTTTATCAATTATATTTGTGTAATATTCTAAAACCTTTCTCATTTCAACAATGTTCACAGAATTCTCACCAGGAGTAAATTCCATCTCAGGGAAGCAGTTTCTTTGCTTATACATAAGAAGCAACTGCTCATCTGTTAAAGTTGTATCATGAGTTGTGGCAATTCAGTCACATCTGCAGGTTCCACTTGGAATTCTAGTTCTCTTGCTGCTTCCACCACATCTGAAATTACTTCCTCCACTGAAATCTTGAACCCTTCAAAATCATCCATAAAAGCGGCAATCAACTTCTCCCAAACACCTGTCAATACTGATATTTTGACCTCTTCCCGTGAATCATGAATGTCCATACTGGCATCTAGAATGGTGACCATCCTTTCCACATGGTTTTCAATTTATTTTGCCCAGATCCATCTGAGAAATGACACCATCTATGACAACTATAGCCTAATGAAATTCATTTTTTAGACATTAAGACTTGTAAATTGAAATTACACTTTGATTCATGGGCTGCAGAATGGATGTTGTGTTAGCAGGCATTAAAACAACATTAATCTCCTTATACACCTCCATCAGAGCTCTCGGGGACCAGATGTGCTGTCAGTGAGTAGTAGTGTTTTGCAAGAGACCCTATCAAGGGAGTCAGTCTGTCCTTTGAAGTTTTGACGTCAGGCGTTGACTTCTACTTTTTAGCTATGAAAGTCCTAGATGGCATCTTCTTCCAACAGAAGGCTGCTGCATCTACATTCAAAATCTGTTGTTTAGTATAGTCACCTTCATCAGTGATCTTATTATAGCTAGGATCTTCTGAAAACCTTACTGCTGCTTCTACATCAGGACGTGCTGCTTCACCTTGCACTTTTATGTTACAAAAGTGCCTTTTTTTTTCCCTTAAGCCTTGTGAGCCAACCTCTGCTAGCTTCAAACTTTTTTTTTCTGTAGTTTCCTCACCTTTCTCAGCCTACATAGAATTTAAGAGAGATAGGGCTTTGCTCTGATTATGCTTTGGCTTAAGGAAGTGTTGTGACTGGTTTGATCTTCTTTCTAAACCACTAAAACTTTCTCCATATCAGCAGTTAGGCTCTTTTACTTTTCACCATTCATATGTTCATTGGAGTAATATCACTTTCAATTTCCTTCAAGAACTTTTCCTTTGCATTCACAGCGTGGCTAATTGGTGCTAGAAGACTAGTTTTTGGCCTGTCTCAACTTTCAACATGCCTTCCTCATGAAGCTAAATCATTTCCAGTTTTTTTATTTACAATGAGATGTGAAATTGTTTCTTTCACTTGAACACTCAGAGGCCATCACAGCGTTATTAACTGGCCTAATTTCAATATTATTATGTCCCTCCCTGGAACTCAGTAATACGTGTCTGTTAAGGGGCAGTTCTTTGACAAATTGGTAAAGTCACTGGCAAAGCCAAGACTCCGGAAATAATATAATCGTGCTAATTTGGATGTTTTAGGACTCTTGGTAACCTTGATAAAGATTTATGTAAACTTCATGTGAGAGCTCAAAAAGACTAGGGTAGATAGCAGAAAAAGATTGGCTCTATGTCTTGCATTCACCCATAAGAAGGTATTTAAGCTAATAACAGTCACACAGCTTTCATCCATTGGGACAGCCCTACATGTTCAAAAAGTATTAGGCACATTGTGACCCTTACCTCATTAAAAATTCTCTTAACAATCTGATAAGGTAGGTATTGATAATACTATTTTATAGACGACAAAATTCAAGCAGCAAGAGGTTAGAAAAGTTTATCAAGGTTTTAGCGTTACTAGAGAGTAGGATAGAATTAAAAACCTGGTTTGTCTGGGTCCAAACCTGTGTTTTGTTTATTTTTTCACTTATTTCTTTAACTCTAAACATTCCTAAAAGGGACAATTCATAAAATATGTTAAATTAACCTCCGTAAGAATCATAAAAGAAATTAAGAAACAGGTTTTTAATATTTAAAGAAACAATGCTATACAATTTGAAAAGAGAATTGACTGTAGAAGATGTTAGATTCCCAAGAACAACTTCTGTATTTATCACAAAGTATGGAAGTGAGACTTTCTAAACTTGATAAGCTACAAACATTTTATTATCTTCTGAAATAATGTAGATGTTTAGCACTTCTCCTGAATGAGTGGCTTTACATTTTGTCAATATTTTGTTCAAATAATAATTTAGGATAAATTTTGGCTTTTGTAAAATCCAAATTTTCCTGATGCAACTATATTTTCTATACACCAATGCTATAATATTATACAAACAGTTTTCAGCACATAAGATTATCAGGGTCCCTGTCAATATACGGAATTGAAAAGAGAAATGACATATCTCCAGGAAATACTTGACTGTCGACCTGGGGAGGTAAGTATTGAATTGGGAAGTTTCTTCTTTATAATGTATTTCAGCACTCCTTTCTCTAAAAACAACAACAAAAAAGATTCAGAAGGTTCTATAGGATCTCCAATAAAGTAGTCTCCCTCTTATCCTCAGGGGATACTTTCCAAGCCCCCAGTGGATACCTGAAACCACAGATTGTACCAAATCCTGTATATACTATGCACAAATTTTTCTTTCCTTCTTTAGAATTTCATGGACATATTAATTTTACTGTAGATTTCGTAACCTTAGCATAGGAATTTTTTTATTATTAAGTCAAAAACCTTCACCTTTACATGGAAAGGAAGACCTTATGGCCTCTCTTTGGTCTTTTCTTGGCATATCCAAATTCCCAGCATTTCTACTCTTGTGTTTTGGAGACATAATTAAGTAAAATAAGTTACTTCAATGCAAGCACCATGATACTGTCAGTCAGTCTGATAACCAAGATGGCTACTATGTGACTCTGGGTCTGTATACTACAGGTAACGTGTACAGCGTGGATACACAGGACAAAGGAATGATACATGTGCCAGTCAGAACAGAGAGGGACTGTGCAAGATTTCATCATGCTACTCAGAATAAATTTAAAATTTATGAATTGTCTATTTCTGGAATTTTCCATTTAGTATTTTTGGAACCTGATTGCCCATGGGTAACTGAAACCATAGGAATCAACGCCACAAATAAAAGGCAACTACTCTGCCAGCTTTATCTTATTTTCATTAAGCAGGTTTTTTAGTTTCAGACATGGGTTCTTAAACAAAACTAATTGTACACAAACTTTGCATATTACCCAGTTTTTGATCTGGATGCCCTAGTGGCAGCAGAGTATCTATATAGAGGTTAATTAGGGAGTTACTGTGTTGTACGAAGGGGGTCTCTGGAACTTGGCCGGAAGAAATATTCTTTGTAGGGTTCATTATTTTATTTATATTGTATGTTTTTGGGGGTGGCAAGAGTAGCTAATGAAAATAATGGATGGTAGTAAAAAGCAATGGGCTAAGGCACTCAGTAATTTACCCACTGTGTTGTGTTTTGTTCTCTTTTGTGCTGCTTTTATTGATATTAACTCTTTACTTCTAAGCAAATAACACAACTATCCTCTATCATAGTTTTTCGATTCCTACTTGTACACTTCTTTCAAGAAAACATCTTGTATGCCTTGAAGCTCAACATAAATCCTTATGAAAATATACTCATCCCACTATAAACATCCTTGTACTTGCTACTTCCCTTTCACATTTCTGAAACTGGTATCACTATTCTTATAGTTTCACAAATGGCATCTATCATCACTGACCCATCTACCTTTATTCACTCTGTTCTGCTTTCTTTCTCTTTGTTTTGGGTCCCTATGGTCACATTTCATAAGAAAATAATTTGTGTTTTCATGGAGTACCTGAACTAAGTATTCCAGACCAGGAGGACAGTTTGCCATAGGAGTTGGCCCTGGCATCCATGTTATTGGAACAGGCTGATTTGGCACAGGATATTTGCCAGGCTGATACTGGACAGGATGGGTACCACCAACTGGCTGGTACAAAGGGAAGGTACTGGGTTGCTGTGGACTGTAGTATCCCATAGGCAAGCCTCCTGAGTAGCCTGCAGGTGGAGGGACAGCTGTTCCAGGGGGTCCTGTGTTCAAAAGAATTCAAAGTGTTATACATTATTAACACTATAAGTTAACATAACTTTTTACATGAGATGAAATAGATCACAAGACATCCACTTAAATATATAACAACTTGTTCCATTTTTGATTTGCACTTTATGCAGATCATTGTTGCATATGACCCAACGATGTATTAGGGAGACTTATTTACATATTAATTCATTTAATCCTTTTAAACCTTGTAAGATAATTATTCCCATTTCAATGTTACAAAAATAAGTTTTGAAACATTAGAAGACCAACATGTTAGCTTCTTAATAAATTAGGTTCCTCCTTGGAGATAATAAACTTACCTAATAGGTTGGGATTAATTACTAATGTATAATTACTACATATAATTACTCCTGCAAATTTTTATTATTATGTCTATTGTTATTGTTTATGGTTACATAAATAATATCTACTTTATTTCAAAGGGGTGCTTTTAATGAATATTTTAGGCTGCCTTGATCCAATCACTTGTACATATCTTCATCATCGAGTTCTCAGACTGGTTCCCAATCCTGACCTCTTTTAGATTCAATTTCTTAAGGTTATTTTCTTAGCAGTTGGGCTGCTATAACAAAATACCACAAACTGAGTGGCTCAAACAACAAGCATTTCTTTCTTATAGTTCAGGAGGTTGGGAAGTTCAAAGACAAATGTTAGCATGGTCAAACCTGGTGAGAGCCTTTCCTGGTTTGCAGATGTTCACCTTCTTGCTATATGCTCACAGAGTGAAGGGGAAGAGAGAGAGAGAGAGGGAAAGAGAGAATCCCTCTCAGGTCTCCTCTTACAGGGCATGAGTGCCATTATGAGGGCTCCACCCTTTTGATTTAATTTTCTCTATGAAAGGACCCACTTCCAAGTAACATCACATTGGGAAATGAGGCTTCAATATGTGAATTTGGGGGGGATATAAACATCCAGCCCACAGCACTTATCCCTCTACCATTTCTCCCCATTCCACCTTCAATCAGAGTTCTGATGAATTATCTTTGTCATTATAAGTCTGTCAAGGAACCTAGATTTCCTTAAATGCATATAGCATTTTATCATGCTTTAAGAGCACAGTCTACATATTCAATGCAATTCCCATCAAAATACTATCACCATTCTTCACAGAACTAGAAAAACAATCCTAAAATTCATATGCAACTAAAAAAGAGCCTGCATAGTCAAAGCAAAACTAAGTGAAAAGAACAAATCCGGAGGTATCACATATCATTTCAAATGATATTATAAGGCCATAGTCACCAAAACAAGATGGTACTGGTACAAAAATAGGCACATAGACCAATGGAACAGAAAAGGGAACCCAAAAATAAACCCAAATACAGCCAACTGATCTTTGACAAAGCAAACAAAACACAAAGTAGGGAAAGGACATCCTATTCAATAAATGGTGCTGGGATAATTGGCAAGCTACATGTATGAGAATGAAACTGGATCCTCATCTCTCACCTTATACAAAAATCAACTCAAAATGGATCAAGGACTTAAATCTAAGACCTGAAACCATAAAAATTCTAGAAGATAATATAAGAAAAACCTTTCTAGATATTGGTTTAGGCAAAGACTTCATGACCAAGAACCTAAAAGCAAATGCAACGAAAACAATGATAAATAGGTGGGACTTAATTAAACTAAAGAGCTTTTGCACAGCAAAAAGAACAGTCAGCAGAGTAAACGGATAATCCAGAGTGGGAGAAAATCTTCACAATTGATATATCTGATAAAGGACTAATATCCAGAATCTACAAGGAACTCAAACAAATTAGCAAGAAAATACAAACAATCCCATCAAAAAGTGGGCTAAGGACATGAACAGATAATTCTCAAATGAAGATATACAAATGGCCAACAAACGTATGAAAAAATACTCAGCATCACTAATGATCAGGGAAATGTAAATCAAAACCACAATGTGATAACATCTTATTCCTGCAAGAATGGCCATAATCAAAAAATCAAAAAATAACAGATGTTGACATGCATGCAGTGAACAGGGAACTACACTGCTGGTGGGAATGTTAACTAGTACAACCACTATGGAAAACAGTGTGGAGATTCCTTAAAAAACTAAAAGTAGAACTACCATTTGATCCAACAATCCCACTACTGGGGTATCTATCCAGGGGAAAAGAAGTCAAAAAAGATACTTGCATATGCATGTTTACAGCAGCACAATCCACTGCTATAATACAGAACTAGCCCAAATGCCCATCAATCAATGAGTGATTAAGAAAAATGTGAGAATATATATATACACACACACACACACACGTACACACGTATACATACACGTATAAAAAGGAATGAATTAATGGCATTCACAGCAACCTGGATGTGATTGGAGACTATTATTCTAAGGAAAGTAATTCAGGAATGGAAAATCAAACATCGTATGTTCTCACTCGTAAGTGGGAGCTAAGCTATGAGGATGCAAAGGCATAGAAATGATACAGTGGACTTTGGGGGCTCAGAGGGAATGATGGGAAGGGGGTGAGGGATAAAAGGCTACAAATTGGATTCAGTGTATACCGATTGGGTGATGGGTGCACCAGAATCTCACAACTTACCACTAAAGAACTTACATATGTAACCAAATACCACCTGTTCCTCAAAAACCTATGGAAATAAAATATTTTTTTAAAAAAGAGTACTCATAAAAATGAATTAGTACACAACAGCTAATGTTTGACTTTAGGAATTTTTTTATCAAGGTCTCTTAAGACAGGCAGTGGTAACTTTGCATTTCACTATTTTAAATTCAAAGAATTGCCAACAATAAGTATGACAATGCCATTACTGTATATCTATCTAGCTCTGGTTAACAGGAATTTTTTGAATAACTTTGATCATTGTTAATGATCATTGTTAATGATCAAATAATAAATGATGATTAATTTATTTTTGTTTTACTTTCCAAGTTTTTAAGATTAATTAATTAAAATTTATAAATAACTGGGTCCTGGTTGTCTACCCAGAAATATGCAACAGACCCTAACTTATCGCGAAGGTGTTGTAGCCCTAACTGAAATCCTGTGAGTAGTAGAGTCACAGCAGCCCACAAGTGACGTTCTCTGAAATGTTAGGAAGGCCAGGCTCAGATAAAGAAAGGTTTTTCACCTTTAATAGAGAATTTAAGGAATAATGTCTTGTGGTTGAAAACAAAATAAATTGTGTAAGTCAAGATATTTTATGTTAAGATTTCAGTATAGTCGTCCCTTGATATTCATGGAGGATTGGTTCCAGGACTCCTTCAAATACCAAAACCTAAAAAAGCTTAAGTCCCTTATATAAAATGGTGTGGTACTTGCATGTAACCTCCTCACAGCCTCCTATATACTTTAATGATGTTTAGATTACTTATAATAGCTAATACAATGTGAATGCTAATATAAATTGTTTTTGTGTTTTTATTGTATAATTTTTATTGTCATTTTAAATTGTGATTTTAAAATATTTTTAATCCAAACTTTTGTAAATCGATGGATGAAGAATTCACAAATATAGGGGTCCAACTGTGGATCTATTTTAGTTTAAATTAAATAAAACAACTTTTTATTAGCAGGGAATGCTACCTAAGACTTGAACTGTAAAATCTGAAGCCTTGGTGACAAGACATGAAGGCAATTTTTAAAAATGGAACTAGATTTTTCAGATTTTCAAAGATAGATGTTTAAATTTAGAAAAAAAAAATCACCTCAACATATTGTTTCTTAAATTGTGGCTCAATATACCAAGTCCTTCAAAATAATCTGGAGTTCTTAGTAAAATTCCAGATTCTGAGCCTCATTCCAATCTATTGCATCAGGATCTCTACAGCAAAACTTAAGATTAACAAAACATTTTATTTCATCAATTCTTTTTTTAAATGCAAAATTCAGTGGTTTTAAGTATATTCTCAAAGTTGTGCAACCGTCACTGCTACCTAAACCCAGAATTTTCATCATACCAGAAAGAACACCCATACCCATTAACAGCAATTTCCATTTCCTCTTCCCCACAGTCCCTGAAAACCACTACTACCTCTGTGGATTTGCCTAATCTACACATTTCGTATAAATGAAAACATACAATAGGCCTCTATGTCTTTTTTTTACACTCAACATGTTTTCAAGGTTCATCCATGTTATAGCACATATAAGAACTTAATTCCATTTTATGGCTGAGTAGTATTCTGTTGTATGGATACATCACATTTTAGGTATCCTTTAATCAGTCAATGGACATTTAGGTTGTTTTCACTCTGGGCTATTATAAATAACGCTGTGATCCTCCATGTACAAGTTTTAGTGTGGACGTATGTTTTCAGTTCTCTAGCTAAGAGTGAAATGAGCTGAAATATTTGGTAACTCCATTATTAACTGCCAAACTGTTTTCCAAAGTGGCTTTACAATTTCACATGTCCACTTGCAAATATGAGAGTTCTACTTTCTCCATATTCTCCACCAATACTTGTTATTGTCTGTTTTTATTTTAGTCATCTTAGTGGGTATGAAGTTGTATCTTATTGTGATTTTTATTTGCATTTTTCTGATTACTAATGATGTTCAGCATCTTTTCATGTGCTTAGCGGCCATTTGTATATCTTCTCTGGAGAACTATCTATTCAAATATTTTTGCCTACTTTAAAACTGAATCATGGCCGGGTGCGGTGGCTCAAGCCTGTAACCCCAGCACTTTGGGAGGCCGAGACGGGCGGATCACGAAGTCAGGAGATCGAGACCATCCTGGCTAACACGGTGAAACCCCGTCTCTACTAAAAAATACAAAAAACTAGCTGGGCGAGGTGGCGGGCGCCTGTAGTCCCAGCTACTCGGGAGGCTGAGGCAGGAGAATGGCCTAAACTCGGGAGGCGGAGCTTGCAGTGAGCTGAGATCTGGCCACTGCACTCCAGCCTGGGTGACAGAGCGAGACTCCGTCTCAAAAACAAACAAACAAACAAACAAAAAAACTGAATCATTTGTCTTTGTAT